TAAATACTACTTCGTCTCTAGAAAAAAACAAAGACTACTCCATAAAACTATAAAACTCTTTCACATTTAAAATCCTATAAGTATAGTTCTTTGAAACACTGTAGCTAGATTTGAATAAAATAAAATTCTTTTAAAATAAATGTAATATATAGGGTACACGTCTATGTTTATCTAAATAACAAAAAAGAGTTTACAAAATCAAATAAAAGTTTACTTATATATATATAATAAAGTAAACATACATGCTGGAGAAAGAAACATCACAAAATTAGTCAATATTAAGAAAAAAAGTTGTTTCTTTTTTCTTCTTGAAGAATATTTGTTTGAAGAGTCAATTTGCATAAATGAACATAAAACAAATAACAAAACTTTGACTATACAACTGCTATCATTAATTTTAATTTAGCACATTCAAGGAATTGAAGGGTATAAGCTGAAACCCCTTCATTTAGCTGTAGTCAAGCCAATATTGTAAGGGTATAATATTTTTTTCGTTGAAAAATATTAGTTTTGAATCGTTAGATTATGTGAAAGGTTTTTTTTTAAACTCAACAAGAGAGAAATTGGTTTCTAATTTATAGTTTCTATAACGACTTTTAAAAGTAACAAAGAGTATATATAAAGAAAAAATTGGTATGACTTGAAATATTTTTTTAAAAATGTAAACAAATTATTTTGAAAAATGTCTTTACTTTTTTTAATTCAAAGATAATAAAAAGATAAGATATTTCTGAACATTAGTAGAGAGTTTAAAATTATTATAATAGAAGTTATATCATGGATAAACTAAAAAAACCGAAATCTTATGGAATATTTATATAATATTCGGCCATATTTATTGTTTACTTTTTATAGCTAATATAAATAGATGATATACCAACAACACATGATTGTACACATATTATATATGGATTATATATAAATTATACATCATTCAATTTTTTTATTTAAGTGGTCGGGTGATTCGGCTGATTAGATAAAGCCAAAAGAAAAATATGAAATAATTTCAACCAAAGACTAAAAATATAATTAAAGTTCATATGTCGACAATTTTTATTAAAACTCATCCTTTTATAGTGAAATAAATTAATTTTTTGTAACAAAATAAATAATGACATAAAAAATAAGATAAAAGAAAATAAATATTGAAAAAAGGTTAAAACTAGAAATAAAAAATGACAGCAAATTTTTTCTTATGTTTCATCTTTGTTGAGTATAAAATATTTGAAAGTTAATCTCATCGATTTCAAATATTTTTGTTTCAACTCAAATACATAGATTATAAGATAAGGATATCTTAGAATATTTTTTTAATTTACATTATGTGTCGTTTTTAAAAAAATCACTATTACTAACAAACTGATATGATATTCGAATTTGAATTGAAATGCAATTTGAGTTGTTTGCATTGAGGTTAAGCCAAGTATAGTGTCAAAAAATAAACTACTTGACAATTTTAAGACAATATATGCAATATTTTATAATAATAATCAACTAATTTAACATTTAATGATTCAAAGAACAATTTTTTTGTATATATAGGGTATTAAAAATTCAAATTCTGGGGCTAGAAATATCGATAAACTTAAGGTGGAGTATTACTGAAATAAATCCGGCCAAAGAATCATTTAAATTTTTAGATAGCCGATTAAAGTTAATTTTAAATTAAGGATAACATCTTCACTTGCATCATTATAAAGATAATCATTATTAAAATATAAAAAGTTTTAGAAATTAAAATTTCAAAATAGAAATAGTTTTTGAAAGATAAAATCATACCAAATTAGAGTTCAAGTCGTAGTATAAGAGTCATGTCGTAATTAAAGAATCATTTATATCGTGTTAACCTTTGTGCTTTGCCATAAGTATGAGTTATTATTTACTTTGTGGCTATTTTTAGGTTCCAATTACACCTATGAGAATAGTGCAAAAATAAAATTATCACTACGAGAATGGAGAAAATATTAGTCTTTTTTCATGTAGTATTTCTTAATTAATATCTGACAATTATCCATAATTATTTAGAAAGTTTAAATGTTAAGGTTATTTACATATAATTCAAATAACTCAGATATTTAATATGCTTAATGTCAAATATCAAAATGGAGTAAAAATAATTCACTAGCTAAAGAATTTTTTATATTTTTAGATAGCCAACTAAAATGAGTTTTGAATTAAGAATAATATTTCAATTACATTATTATAAAAATAATTACTATTAAAAAATAATATTTTAGAAACTGAAATTTAAGAAAAAATATTTTTTAAGAGATATCAACACACCAAATAAGAGTTCAAGTAGTAGTAAAAGAGTTAAGTCTTATCCAAAGAGTCGTTCATTGTTTCAACATTTGATTNTTTCTGTTGATGTCATGTCTTTGACTATCTTTTTTCTCTGACAAACAAGGTCATGCCTTCACCAATATGAGGCTCTTCAAGCCAAAACATGGGCGAGAGACAGAGCCAAGCAAGAAGAGATCCGTGGCAAACAGAAAAAGAAACTATGCAGTCAAAAAAGATGTTCAAGAATCTAAAGATTTTAAATTGAGAAATGGTGAATGTATTAAGTGTTAGATGCAGTTTCTTTATGTTAGTTGGAGATTTGAGACTGAAATATTTGTAATATACAGGGTAAATGTCATGTTTTTACTCCTCTACTCATATTTTTGTGTATATATTTTTAATCCTCATCTTTGTATTCCCATAATCCCAAATATTGTAACTAATCCTCTATGAGAAATAAAGATTCTGCAGTTTTTAACAATTTGTCCTATAAACATTAAAATTTGTAAAAAATGTATTATATTCAATTATAGAATATTCATTANTCAGGTAGGAATACTACTGTTTTTTAGATGGCTACTCGAATTATAACCAAATTGTTATAGCCCCAGAAGATCAAGAAAAGACCACATTTACATGTCCCTATGGGACATATACATTTAAAAGAATGTCATTTGGTCTTTGCAATGCACCTGCGACTTTTCAAAGGTGTATGATGGCTATTTTCACTGATATGGTTGAAAGATTTGTGGAAGTATATATGGATGATTTTTCTGTATTTGGATGTTCTTTTGATTAATGTTTAATGAATCTTGATAAAGTCCTTGCTAGGTGTGAAGAAACAAATTTGGTACTAAATTGGGAAAAATGTCATTTCATGGTACGTGAAGGCATAGTCTTAGGACATAAAGTGTCCAAGAATGGATTGCAGGTGGATAAAGCAAAGGTGGAAGCAATTGAAAAATTACCTCCACCAACATCAGTTAGAGGCATTCGCATTTTCTTAGGCCATGCAGGTTTTTACCGTCGTTTCATCAAGGACTTTTCAAAAATCTCATCTCCTTTGTGCTGGCTTCTTGAGAAAGATACATCTTTCAAGTTTGATGATGCTTGTATAAAAGCATTTGATGAGCTGAAACGAAGATTAGTTACTGCACCGATTATAATTTCTCCAGATTGGAAACTTCCATTTGAATTGATGTGTGATGCAAGTGATATAGCCATTGGAGCTGTTTTGGGACAGCGGAAGGAGAAAATGTTTTGTTCTATTCACTATGTGAGTAGAACTCTTAATTCATCTCAAATGAATTACACTGTTACTGAAAAAGAGTNAATTTTCATACATTTAGGGACGAAAACGTTTTGTGTACAAATGATAATTTTTTCTTTAAAATTTGCATATCTTCGGTGACAAAATCACATTTTTCAACTACAAATTAGATACCACTTTAGAGACAATTAGAATTGTCACTAATAAAGATAAAAATTAGTGATAAATTTGTTTCGTCGGTATTAAGAATTTATTTAGTGACGAAAGTTATTTCTACTACAAAAAAGTTGAAGTTTTTCTGACAAACAAATTCGTCACTGATTTAATATATTTGGGGACAAAATAATAAATTTGTCACTAATGTAACGTCATTTAGTGACGAACCACTAAATCGTCTTTGTAAACTTTTAGTGACCCATTTATGGCTACGAAGAATTGGCGAAAAAAATTTGGTCAGAAAAGATATTTAGTGACGAAATAAAGCCTTTTAGTGACAAAGACATTTGTTGCTATAAATCAAATTTGTTGTAGTGTATGTTGAAGCAATTGTTGGAGTCGTGCAAGTTAGAAAGGGACAAATTGTTGAAAAAAGTTGAATATTTGGAGGTTGCAAAAAATATTGAATTGAATAAAGCAAGGAAAATCGAAGATAAAGTGGTTAAAATGAAGATGTTTATTTTGATTTCAGTTGCACTTTTTGTTGAATTTGTTGCGGCAATGTGGATGAAGTAAATTCTGTAAAAGAAAGATGGCATATGATCGATATTTCACTTCCTAGTTCTTGTAATACTTAGACGTTTCTATGCTCTTATCTACTGAATTTTAGCCATTGTAAAATAATGACATATGTTAATGTATGTTCCAAGTACTAGTGTGTTGATATTGTATCTATTGTCCCTTTTTAATGCTCCTATCTACTGACTTGTACTAGTTCAAATTGTTCAATTCCTTTGCCAAAGATGTAAATAAAACATGTTTTCTTCTAAATACTTGAAGACACTTCAATACAGACACTTGAAACATAGACACCTGAAGACAATGCTTACAATAATTAAACTACAACTTAGAGTTTAGAATTAACAACTTACAATATTGAACTCCAATATGGCAACTTACAACTTCGAAACAGTTAGATTAATATGGCATCCAATTTCAGTAATTACATTGCCAAAAACATACACTTCTTCACAGTAACTCCAGTAATTACATCACCAAAAATACACACCAAAAAAATTGTAATTACAGTAATTACTTCAGTGGATTATAATATGATATCCAATGACAATATTCAGAACCAACCATTAATCATAGAATACTAAATGGGAGATAACTGTCTATAAGTTTGTAGTAAATACACCCCACACACAACAAATAAATTCCAGCTTTATCTTTATTTTTTTCTCCTTGATTTTAGCTTCCCAATTTTTTCTTGCCCTTGTTTTTCAAACTAATTTGCATTTACAGTAGTCTTCCCCTTCCACTGTAATGTTGGGGCTGAATATGGTAGATCTATTGGCACACTAACACCATTGTGATCACCAGTGAAGTTGATTGACCTTATTCTAGCTTTTATTTGTGCATGTTGTCTCATCCTGAGCCTTGTAGTTACTTCTAATGTAACTCTTGGCCTAAGCACAACATCTTCTTCATGTCTAACTCTTGACCTAAGCATTCTTCCAGGTGTAGGCATGAACTTAATCCCATTGTCCTGACTTGGTTGAGTGGCTTGAAGCACTGAACAATTGATATCATTTTCAACTTTAGGTGCTGAACTGTCCTGATTTGGTTCAGTTTCATGATCTATCAAACAACTTGGCCTCTTCCTCTGCTGCTTTCCTTTTGAATTTTTTGTAGCAGGTGTTGAACTGGTGGCAGTTTGCTCAGTTGTTGCAGTAGGTGCTGAACTAGTGGCAACCTGCTCAATTCTTCCACTCTTACTTTGCTTCTTTCCCTGATAAAGATAGTTAAAAATACAAGTTAGAAAATATTCTTCATGTATAGTATTTAATACTTTGAAGTTTATGTAAAACAATAACCTGACCACAAGTCCTTGCATTATGAGTTATTTCTCCACATTTGCTACAAGTCATGATTCTTTCTTTTCAAGACTGTGACCACACTCCTTGTCTTTTAATTGCCTCATCCTTCTGCCTATCTCTCTTAACCTTAGGTCTTTCAGCCAATTTTACAAGCTCTGGAGGCTTAATTGCTTGAGATTGTTCAATCTTCCAAAACTTTTTTCCCCTGACAGGCTTGATATTGTGCCTATAAGTCAGTAGAAATGTCTCCTTGATATACCACTAGTTGGTTTCTGTCATTGGATCACCAGAGTCATGAAGTATAGCTCTAAGAGCATGTGGACATGGGATTCCTGTAAGGTTCTATGACCTATAAGTGCACTTCTTCATAGCCAAATTGACATAATGCTTATCAGATCCTTTTGTAACTTCATAGCCATTTTGACCATTTACATTTACTTCACAGGCTGTTTGAGCAATCTGTAGGTACTCATTGTACAAGTCCATGCATTTTGGACTGAAATCATGTCTCCAACTCCTAACTTCTTCTTCATGTTCTCTTAATAGGTCCGTGGTCTTGATTTTGATGTCCTCTAGCATCTTGATTATAGGCTTATGCCTTGCATCCACAATCCACTTGTTTAAGGATTCAGTTAAGTTATTATCAACCGACTGATTCTCGCATATTGTGTCCATATATGCTCTACACCATGCCTGAGGTAGGTACCTCAACAAAGCCTCTACAACATCTTTGTTCAAGTCCCCTAATTTTTCTAGCCGATTTTTGAAATCTTCTGCATATGTGCACCATACACACCACCATAAAAGCTTCTTGTTTTTCCCAATATTGTACCGTTTGTACTAGTTAGACTCAATATGTCTAACACAATACCTGTGATGTGCCTAAAGAAGGACTGTTTTGACTGCATCAAGTAGTCCCTGCAATGGTTATCCAAAACATAAAAAGCTGGTCAAAAACATATATCAAGTAAAAAGTAAACAGAAGACTGAATAAAAGTAGACAAAATTGTTTAGAAACTTTACCTTTTGCATATCTGACATGAAGGTTATTCTTTCCCCTTCCTTGAGGTCCAAAGAAGATTAAGCAACTGCAGGAACCAATTCTAAGTATTTTTTGTCTCCTTATCAACAACTACCTATGCCAAAGGGTAAAAATAATTCTGTGAATCCTCTCCAACTGCCACTAACAGTTGGTCTTTGGCTTTGCCCTTCAAAAAAGTACCATCTAGACCAATAAAAGGTCTCAATCCTATATTGAAACCTATCTTCAAAACATGTAAACACACATACATCCTCAAGAACCTTCTTCTTCCTTCTTCAAGTGCACTCTTTGAAAGTGTAACAACCACATCACTACCAGGGTTACTTTCCCTCAATTCATTGGCATAAGCCTCAAGTTTATTGTACTCATCTGAAAAACTACCATCTAGTGACTCCAATACCGTCCTCTTTGTCCTCTTGCACTTTCCATGACTAATATTTAGCTCAAATATTCTCTTCAAATATAACATCATTTCCCAAATCGTGTACTTAGGATTATCCTGTAACTTTTTCTTGAAATATTGTGCAATGGTACTAAAATCAATAGTTTTGTTATCAAATGCAGTTTCACAATCATGTTCAGTATTTAAAGTCTTGATTTTAACCCCACCAAATTTTTATATTAAACAAACAAAGGGACAACCAACAATATCACAACTATACTAAGCCTTTCTAGGTCACTGTTCTCCAATTTCAATCTTTTCTTGTTAGCCAGAGAATATAACTTTATACACTGCTTCCGGTATGTCCTTAAATGACATACCTTTGTATAACTCTTTGTAGTCACTAAGTTTTCAGTTATTTACCATTTCTTTTGTGCTTTAAGTGCTTCTAATTCTTCAGAGTTGTATCCTTTAGAATTAGTACTAGAGTCAGATCCTACATCATTTAAGCTACAATCAGTACCAACATCATCCATAATTTTATTAGATTCTTCTTCATATTGTACAATATTGGGAATAGAGTAAATAGGGGGTTCACATTCATCTATACCAAATAGGTTCACTATATTAAATTCATTGCATATTAACTTTTGTAAATGTCTAATACCATTATTCCCTTCAATCACATAAAATTTACTAGATGGGGCAACACCTATAAGTTGTTGAACCCCTAAAAATCCTAGCTCATTTGTGAATTCATTCACTATCTCTATATTTGAAAGTAAGTCGGAGTTATAACCTGTCCAAGTCTTCACCAATTTTTCTGTGTAGACAACATTAGGCCTAGTAATTGAATATTAAGTCAACTAGCACCATCTCCAACACCTATCAAACACAACAAAACAATATACCACTTAGAAAACATAAAGTAATCAATGTAAAGGTCACTAGTGAGAAAAGAATAATTAATGCCAAAAAGAATAAATTTTTATGACAAGAGGTCTCCCCTAAAGAAGAATAAAAAATACCCGAATACTTTAATCAAATGGCGACACAATTGGGGACCATCGTTGTTAAAAAGCAATGAAAAAGTGTGGAATCTTCAGACAATACAAATATACTTTATTAACAAAGATAAAAAACAAACCCCACATAACCCCACAAAATCCCACAAAACAGAGAACTACAATAATAAATAAACAACAGAGGCGTAAACCATGCATGCAAACACTAGAAACATACAAGAAATAAGAATATATCATTAAAATTGCAGAAACTTAAGTTGGATATAGATGAAACCCAAGAAATCGAAAACCTAGAATAAAAACCCTAAAAAACGAAAAGAAAACTAAAAGGATGAAATACTAACAGAAATAATATAGTAGAGACGAATGATTTTAATGGAGGAAGGTATTATCTTTATGGCATTTGTTGTTCATTGGCAATCAACAAAGAAGAGAGAGGTTAGAGAGATCTAAAGAGTGAAAGAGAAAGAAGAGAAATTGAATGAAATGAGTTTATTTTGTGTTATAAACCACATGTTACAGGTTATGGGCATGGGGTTTCGTGGAGCGGGTCGCTTAATATGTGCCCAGATGTAAAAAGGGCACGGATGAGTGCCACATGTCACCTCCGTCTAATTAAGGATACATTTGTGAGAATAGTAAGACAGTAGAGAATTTTATGGCCCAATAGTATAACGGGGGACAACTTTAAATAATTTATCATAGTAGAGAGGCAGATCATATCCTTTTCCGATTTAACTTATATATAAAATGGTCGAACAAAATTGTTTATTTATCACTTGTCAAAATTACATCTCAAAATACAATTAGACTGCTCTCTAACTGTCCTTACTATCACTTATTTACAATCTAAGCTATACATTTTCTCTATAAAGTTTTTCTATCCAATCTTTCTCTCTACTTGTATGTCTTCTTCTCAATGCTTCAAGTGCTTTATGCTTATCTGATTGCATAGCTGCCCAGGTCGTATCACCTTATGTTCCCATAGAGCTAAGTGTCTTGCTCTCCATATGTTATAAACTACAGCCGCTAGTATGGCTAACACAATTGCCTTGCATGTTTTCCCTTTGATTTGTCTGGTCATTCTTCTGCCTAGACCTTGCAGCTCCATATTTCTGGTGTCTATGTTTAACCAACTCAGCGTGTCTTCTATGCACCTCCTCGCAAGTGGACATTCAAAGAACAAGTGAGCAACTATTTTTTCTGCATTTCCATATATCACACAAAGTCTGTCTTTGTTAATTCCTATTTGTTTCAGCCTTTCTTTCGTCAAGAGTTTGTTATGTGCCACTAACCAACAAATTAGGTTGTGTTTTGGCATGTTCATCTTGTTCCATACCCACCCTCGCCAAGGCCAGTCCTCCTTAGCCCTTTCTTCCAATCATAGCCACTTCTTATTGTATAAGCTCCACTAGTAGTTAGCCAGTGATTCTGTGTGTATCTATCAGCAAACTTATCTCTTATAGTACATATTTTTTTCAAGTACCAGCTGCAGTCTGTTGTAGGCTTGTACTGTCACCAATATCTCCCTTTTAAGTAAATATGGTTTACCTATCTGACCCACAAATTATCTATTTTTGATGCTATATTCCATACATACTTTGCTATAGCTGCGTCATTCCAGACTGCAGTATCATTTACCCCTAAACCTCCCTGTTTTTTTCCCCTACATACCAAGTCCCATGCTACCGGAGATGGCTTGCTAGTGTGGACTTTTCCATCCCATAAGAATCTCCTACATATTCCTATAATGCTTTTGATGACTTTCTCAGGCAGTACAAAAAATGGATGCCCAGTATGAGTGTATGTGCATTAGTACTACATTAACCAATAGTACTCTCCCTGCATATGCCAAATTTCTTGTCCCCAGCTTTTAATCTTCATTGTCATCTCATCTACTAAAATTTCACAATCTAGTGCTGCCAATTTCTTTGGTGATATGTGTACTCCAAGATATCTAAATGGTAGAGATCCCCTCTTGTATCCTGTTAGTTCACATAAATCCTGCAAGCATTATTCATCCATATTTGCACTGAATATATTGGACTTTGTAGCATTTGTAGTAAGTCCAGATACATTTGAGAAGCTTTGTAGTCCTCTCAACATTAGTACTATAGCTTGAAACTCCCCTTTGCAAAACAGTAATACATCATCTGCAAAGCAGAGATGGTTTAGCTGCAACCCTTTACATTTTGTATGATAAGTAAACCCCTCTTGGTCAGCCACCATTCTCATGATTCGAGTAAAATACTCCATACGTATTACAAACAACAGTGGGGATATTAGATTCTCTTGTCTTAGTCCCCTCTTTCCTACTATGCAACCATACAGACCACCATTAATTGCTATTGTATATTGTGTAGTTGTGATGCACCTCATTATCCAGCTTATGAATTGGCTTGAAAAATTCAGTGCATATAGCATTTCTTCCACAAATCCCCATTCCACTAAGTCATAGTCCTTCTTGAGGTCAATTTTTATAAGACAACTCTTAGTTGTATTCTTCCTATTATAGAGTCTCACTAAGTCTTGACAAATTAGGATGTTCTGAGCAATATACTACAAATGCACTTTGATTTTTAGAAATTATCCCAGGCAGTACCTTCCTTAATCTTTGACATAACATATTTGATATTACCTTGTACACAGTGTTGCAGCAAGCTATTGGCCTATTGTCTCCTACTGAATCTGCATGAGTCCCTTTTGGAATAAGTGTAATGACAATATTATTCAGCACTTTCAACAGTTTCCCAGTCTTGAAAAATTCCAAACTGCTGTAGTTACATCCCCTCCAGTTATTCTCCAACTATCTTTGAAGAATTGACTCCCATATCCATCTGGACCAGGACTCTTATCCCCTGCAATTTTCCATAATTCTTGCTTTACTTCCTTCTCTGAGTAAGGAGCCACTAGTATTTTCCTATCTTCTTAAGACACCACAACCCACTTCTTCACTAAGTTACTACACACATGATCTCTATCATCTTTACTTGTGCCTAGTAGAGATGAAGAGAATTCTGTAAAAGTATTTGCAATATTTTTCGTTTCTGTGATATTTTCTCCATTAGCATTCCTTATTGAGAAGATTCTATTATTGTTTCTCCTTGCCTTTATACAATTGTAAAAAAACCTTGTGTTTTGATCTCCTTGCACTACCTATTGTATTTTACTCTTCTGCCTTAGGTACTGATATCTAGCATCTTCCTAGCTACTATATGCCTGTGCTAATTCCTTCTCTTGTTTATGCAGCTCATAGTCGATAGGACTTGCCTGAATTCTATCTTGGCATGCTTGAAGTTCCATCTTTGCTTGATCTGCTTTCTTTTCAACTTCACTAAATCTATTCTTGTTGATCTTCCATAGTACTTTTTTTAGTCTGTTCAGCTTCCCCACTAGTTGATATTGCTTGCATCCTAGTATCCTTTCTTGCCAGCTTTCCTCTACCTTTTCTAAGAAATCTGGAGCCATACTCCACATGTTAAAATATTTAAACTGTTTCTCCTTCCTGTTCTCTCCTTTTTCCTAGATGATAATAGCAGGACAATGGTCATACAACCCTTCTTCCATATAATGAACTGTGGAAGCAGGGAGTATTGCTAGCCAATCACTATTAACTAGTACTCTATCTATCTTGCTCATTACTTTATCATCCCCTTCTTGTTTGTTATTCCAGGTGAAATAAGCCCCAGTAGATTTTAGGTCATACAAATCATAATTCTCCACACACTTCTTAAAATCTCTAATTTCAGCCACATTGACAGGACTTCCAATCCTTTCCTCTTTAAAAAGGACACAGTTGAAATCCCCCATTATAATCCATGGCCCCTGGACTTGACTACATATTGTCCTTATTTCCTCCCATAGTTCTCTTCTGAGGGCTTGATCATTGAATCCATACACTACAGTTATGTACATCTTCTCATTCCTTCCTCTATGTTTTACCAAACAGTGAATTACTTGAGCAGTTACTGTTATTATGTCAACCTCATATATTTGAGGTTTCCATAGTAACCAAATCCGACCCCTTGGATGTTTATGCAGGTTTGTACTGAAAGACCACCCATTACAAAGAGTAAGAGAGGCTTGTTGGGCCTTTGTTCTCTTAATCTTTGTCTCTAGGAGTCCAAATAATCCAGCCAATTGTACATAAATAGGTTTACTTCTTTCTACTTGGCTGTCCTATTTAGACCCCTTATATTCCAGCATCCAATATTACCCATTAGGTAGGGGGTTTCCCCCACCCTTTCCAATGTTATGGCCCAAACTAGCTTGCTTATCTCCAGGGTTAGATGAGCTTGCTATGTTTCCATTTTCTCTAGTAGTGTCATCACTGTTCTTTGCTAATATTGTATATGAATTCCCAAGTGTCAGAGTCATCTCTCTTGCCCTTGTTAATGTATTGCTTTTCCCTTTCTTCTTTTGCTGCATCATCACCTCTATCTCCGTTGCTTTACTATTTTCATTTCCTGCTTTGTCTATGTTATCCTTGGGCCTTTCCTACTCTCTCTTGTCATTTTTTTGTTGATCATTCTGACTTTGTTTTTGTTGTTCCTTTTCTTCCTCCTTCTTCATGTTCCTTCTGCAATCTGTTTGTTTATGCCCAAAAATATTACAGGTGGGACAATGTACTAGTTTTCATTCATACACTACTCTTTATTCTATAATCTTCCCATATTCATTTTTAAACATGATTGTTGATGGATACTGTTGATTAATTGATACCTCAACAAGTATCCTAGAAAATGTAAGTCTTTCCTTTTGTGATGTAGCACTATCTGCCTTCAATGGTTTTCCTACCATTCCTGCAATTTTAGTAAGTGCATTCTTCCCCCAGCATTTGATGTCCAATCCTATTAGCCTAATACATATATGAATCCTATCAATTTTCTCCTTTTTCATATCAATGTCCTGCTTCCAAGGCTTGATTACTATTGGTTTTTATCAAACATCTGGACTCCTTCCTCAACTGTTCTATTTCTAGCTTCTTCAGATTGAAATCTCACAAGAAAAACTCCCTTATTCACTACTGCAACTTTGTCAATTCCTATATTTCCCCAAGTTCTTTTGAAATAACCTTCCATAACTGCTAGAGGTGGATTAGATCCCAGCACATAGCAGATCACTGCTGATTTCCAGTACTCGACCTCCTCCTTAATATCGTCAATTGTGATTTTCACATTTTGATATGTCAATTCCTCACTACTCAAGTCGAGTCCTTCAATTTGAGGAATCGGCCTCACTACATTACTCCGTGAATTCACAGTTTGTTGCGATTTTTCCGCCTCTGCTTCCTCTATCGCTTCTTCTTCTACCATATTCGCCCATGAGCTCTTCCCGCTACTCTGCATGTTGCTGTTTCCACTTCTATTTACCAATTTGCATTGGTTTGGCGTCTGATCCATCGTTCCTTTTGCTAAATTCAGCGGTGCAATTTCTTGGAGCACATTAATACTTTTAGTTTTCTTCGCATCTGTAGATTGCGGTACATTCTGCTTTCCTCCATTTGTGACATTGCTCTGCCATTGTTTTTCTCCTCCTCCAGCTTTCGATTTCCTACCCATGATCAGCTTTCACTGAGAGGAAATTTTCATTCTAGAGAGAGAATTTTTTCGGTGTTTAATTTCCTTTTTTTCACGATACAAAGACAATTATATACAGTTTAATTTTCCGGCGAAGGATATACGCTTGACCACCCTTGAAACATAGGTTTGCTACGCTACTGGTAATAGTGAGTTAGATATCTTAATCAGTTTACCAATTAATATTTTGCATAAAAATAAATCTACAATTACTTTATAAGTGACCACATTGTGTAATGTTTTTAACACAACAAGTGCTGAGGTAAGGTATTATAATACCTATGTGTATAATTTTATGACCTATGGCTGCAGAAAACAGCAATAGTGCAGACGAGTTAATATATTTGTTAACATTGTATTATTCAAATTGTCACAATGCCGAATCATTCAAACTTTCAAATATGTCTTTTTAAGATTTCCTTTCGTTTGAAAAAACGGTAAATTAGAAAGAAAAAAAAGTGCCAATTAATAAACATTTTTATAAGTGATTCAAATATTTGATTGATGTGGATATATTTATCTAAAAAAGCACAAACTCCATCCAAACTACATAACTTACTATTATTAGATTGTGACATTCATTTAACTAATAGCGTAGAACAAACTCATCCAACCTAGGGATTAGGTGGTAAATTTTGTTCGCTCTGCTCCTCTTGATTTTATTGTTTTACAGAGAAAATGGAGCAATTTTTTTATGTAATGATATTTATAATAATAAGATGTGCAACTTTTCGCGTTAGAAAATTTCCGTAAAACGTTTTTTCCCCTAAAACTATATGTACAAATACCGTTTAATGTGATATAGATCCCTTTATGTTACTACGAAGGAAAAGGAAAGGAGAAAAACACAAATATGATACTTTTGTATCACTATTGTTCTTTTTAACCCCGATAATAAAAATTTATGGTAAAAGCCCTTGCCAAAAATTTAAAATACATTGGGCAGGATTTTGCTCGATCGTCACATTGGGCAGGATTTTGCTCGATCGTCACATTGGGCATAATCTTACAACACGCAGCAAATCTGGTGATCGTCAGAATTTTGCCACAAAATTCTAGCTATCACCAGAGTTTTGTGGCTAAAATTCTTGCGATGGACTGCTGTTTGATTTAAAATTCTGCCCATCGTACTTTAAAATTTTGGCGATCAATCAAAATCCTGCTTTAAAAATCTAGTGTGGGGCTATTTTCCCAAAATATTTCTTAATTGGGTTAAAATATAAATAGTGGTTTAAACAAGAGAAAATTATACTATATAGCCACTCTAAAAATAATAGCCGCTAAAATATTTTTTTATATATTAATATATAATGCACAAAAAAATATTTTAAACATAATCAATATATATTTTTTGTATATCAGCTAACGAATGTAATTATTTTTGATCGGTCGGCCAAATATGTAATTTGCCCTTTAAAAAAGGTCCACACAATGGCATTTGGACCCGTTCGAATAGACTTGGACCAGGCCCAAATCATCTAGTGGGCCTCAACTTCTTGCCAACACCAGTAACTTGCTCTAATTTTCTGCAGCAAACTCCTCACTTCTTCAGAGTTCCTCGCGACGGAATCAAAATTTATCTTCATCTGTTCCGCTCTCTCTCTCTCTAGGTATTTTTCTCTCTCAATATTTAATTTGACTAAAACCTTATTATCTTTTGCATTTGGCTATGATTTTGAATGGTATAATACAAATTATAGTGAGTTTTGCTGTGTTTGCTTCATTTCTTTAACAAACTCTCAGCTCCAGTATCAGTTATTTTTTAGTTATTATAATTTGCTATAGTTGTGATGGTGTGTTAATTTGCTGTAATAATCAAAATTCTGAATAAATGGCTAATTACGAAAAGCTCTTATGAGTAGTTATGCCACTGGAGGCAGTGGGTACACGCCTTAATTACTTGTTTAATGATTTATTTTTTTTGTTCCTGTTTTGAGAGCTGATTGTGTGTTGATTTGAAATTGAACTGATCTCTAATTATATTTTTATGTGTTAATGTGGGTTTTCTTGCTAGTACTGGATTTCTATTTCTATATATATTTCCTCTATAGAAGACCAAAAAATTGATTAACTTTTAGCTAATTATTAAAATTAGGGTTTAATTATGGAAATCTATTTTTTTTCTAAGTGAAGTTAGTTTGTAATGCAATTGAAAATAAGAAAGTTAAAAGAACTTATATGTAAAGTATGGTGGAGGATTTGATACGGGTGCGGTGGAACTTAGGAGGATCCGAGCAACATAGCCTATAACGACCATTAATGTTGAAAAAATCAGAAATTAGATTTTACCTTGTAGGTTGCTGATGATAACATGGACATAGTTAAGCTGCAAGAATACTCTGTCCTCCTTAACAGATCTCCCTAATGTTACCAAAAATGTTACTCTTTTCTCTTGCAGATTTTCCTCCTCATAATATTGGTTCTTTTAGTATAGTCTTGATCCATATTAACATTATGTTTTTATAGAATGATTTGTAAGACTGCTTTTATGCCGATAAACTTGCAGTAATACGAGCTATCTAATGTTGATATGTCCTGCATTAAACAAAAGTATCCTTAATNGAACAAAAGTATCCTTAATTAATCATCTTTTCTGCATGTGAACAGCTACATCTGTGAATTAACGAGACATTTCCTCCATGCAGTTCAGCTGATAATTAAAGGATATCGTGGAAATGGCAACCTATATGTGGAGGAAATATGCAGATTATGTGTACACAAAGTGGGAGAAGACAATTCTATGGGATATGGTCGAACCATTTAGGAGACCAAAATCGTTTACACCTCTTGTCACAATCTATGTTTGTGCATTTTATACAGGGGTTATTGGGGCAGCCATCACTGAGCAACTCTACAAGGTATAGTTGCTTTAGGTCCTTAATTTTGTTACACTAAATGCTTGGCCTTTTGTTTGGAAAAACTTGGAATTGAAACTTCATGAAGTTACTTTTGGAACTTGAAAGCACCACTTGCGTTTTTTGGTTGGAGGGGTAGAGCAGGATTATAAAACCCCCGATATAGTTAGTTGGACAAATGCAGGATTGAGTGGAAATGCATATAATTGTGTCATGTTAGACTGCTCGTGCTAACTTCCTTCACCTTGCTACTTTGTTTAGAAGAGGGTCGTTGAGTCAATGATGAGTTATGAGTTATTATAAATCAAACTCCTAACTTTTGCTACTTGCTCATTTATACATGGAAAGTGCGACTTTAAAGAATGGAAGTTCAACACATTATTTACTTGTCAGAAAAAGAGCTCCACTCATTATTCAGAAGTTTCATTAATTTGATTTTTATAATAAATGGTTCTAAACTATGATTGATCATTTGTTAGTTCATGAACAAGCTTCAGTTATCAGTTTAGTATTTTCAATGTGCAAATCCTATGGTCGGGACTCGTACATAGTTTGATTTGACCTCCCTATCTGAAAAGATATTGCAGTCAAGGTAGGAGAATCATCTGAATTTGTCTTGTCTTATCTAGTCACATTGATCCATTTCTTTTGCTTCTTCTCCTTTGATCTAATTCTTATTTTTCAGTATGTATCTCCTTTTCGGAATAAGTTATCTTTCCCTCTAGCTATAGCCTTTTTTTAAAATGTTTTGTATAAGTCATTACCATTTCAGAAGATAAGTAGCCTACTCATGTTCTGTATCATATGAGCTATAGAGAAGTACTCATTTGTTCAAAGTAGATGACTTTCCCTTGTATATTAAGAATCAAATTTACTTTTTCAGCCTTTAGTTAACTGTTTGTTCTAAATTCTTGTCTTAATGTAAGAGCTTTTCCCCACTATAATAACAGGAAAAATACTGGGAAGAACACCCTGGGCAAGAAGTGCCTCTAATGAAGCCGATGTTTTATGGCGGCCCTTGGAGAGTAATGAGAGGTGATGTTCCTCCTATGGGAAAGTTCAATCTCTGAGCAGCAGTCAGTTGATAGTTATAAGGTATCTAATATAAGCTCTATGAAAAGGAAAAGTAGCGAGATATGTTGTAGGTGCACACGAGTTCAAAATTCTATCTGTGAACCAAGTTTAGTATATACGTAGAGAGAAGGGTAGAAGGGCATATCCATTATTCACTGAAAAGGGAAAGATACCACTTTCTTTGCATTTATCGTGTGTTTATATTTGACCTATCCTCACTTGTAAAGATTTTAATCTAGCTGTTTACTATGTTGTCGGGCATTTTTCTGATCCTAACTGGGTTGTTTAGGGCTAGTCTGCTAGTATCTTGTCGTTATTCCTGCAAGTATTACGGCTACTTCTTACTATCTTCCGCTTCAGTTTTCTAGTATCCTGTCGTGGTTATTGCTTGTTGCTATTGCTAGTGCTATTGCTAGTGCTATTGCTTTCCTCCATCTATTATTTCTAGTTCTTACATTGTTGTTAATCATTTTTCTGGCTATTATTGTTGATATTTGATTGTTTTTATTCATCCTCTCGAGCCGAGGATCTTTCGGAAATAGCCTTTCTACCTCCTCAGATAGGAGTAAAGTTTGTGTACACACTACCCTCCCCAGATCTTACTTGTGGTATTTCACTGGGTTTATTGTTATTACTATGTTGTCTGAGATAGATGGGTTATAAAAAGTAATGAGAAGTGACTTGAGCAGCATTTGCGCTACAGTTACACTACTGCAAACTACTGTAAGAGAAGTAGTTATAACCATATACCAATTAACAAAAGCGTTACTGCTGTCTATATAGGTTTCTAATGTTTACTAATCTATTTTGGCCCTTCCCCATCTTTTACTTCCCCTTGTCTTTCTTCTTATTTTAAATTGGTGATATTCTTTTCAAGAGAAATTTCATTACATTTCTAGTTTTTTATTTGTGTTTTTATAAAATATCAAAGCAAATTATTTAACACGGCTGAATTTCCCAGAATGTATAAAGTTTGATGTCCATAAAACACCAAAAACATAAAGTTCAAACAAAACGTAGGATAATTTATTGGCATTTTTTCCATCAATATCTGGAAACTTTGTCCTAAGGACATATACTTTTTTGGAGTGCTTTCTCTTTACAATTGTTGTTGCAGATTACTGAAATGACGGTACATGCTTAGTGGTCCATGAAGTGGGTTGAGAATCGAGTTCAAATTTCAGCGAAAGCAAAAAAAATTAGGTGATTTCGAGCTCGTTTGGATGAGCTTGTTGTAAGTGACTTTTAAGCCAAAAGCCATGAGTTAGGAATTCTAACTTTTGACTTTTGACTTAATTTTTGTCACTTTTGCTTAAAAATACTTTTTTACTTTATCCAAACACTACAAAATGACTTAAAAACACTTTTGGCTTAAAAACACTTAAAATATGAGGTTTTGACACAGTTACCCATAAAAAGAAAACTATTTACCCTTGTTTACCCATTTGTTTTCTACCCATAAACTAATTACATTTCATATCCATAGTAGTTTTTTCTGGGGAATTTTTTCTTTATTTTTCAATTCTTTTTTATTTCTATGCTTCTTTCCTTTTTTATTTCTTTTCTCCTTTTTTTTTCTCGTTTTCTTCTTATTTTTTTTTTCTTTTTTCCTTTTCTAATTTCATTTAACTTCTTTTTTTTTATATTCTTTTTCTCTTCATAATCTAATTTCATTTACTGTTTTCACTATTTTTTATTATTCTTTTTTTTTATATTCTTTTTCTCTTCATAATCTAATTTCATTTACTGTTTTCACTATTTTTTATTATTCTTTTTTTTTATATTCTTTTTCTCTTCATAATCTAATTTCATTTACTGTTTTCACTATTTTTTATTATTCTTTTTTTTTATATTCTTTTTCTCTTCATAATCTAATTTCATTTACTGTTTTCACTATTTTTTATTATTCTTTTTTTTTATATTATTACTAAAGAAAAATCAAATTGTGTACCAATTAAATGTAGCTAATACAATCAAAAAATATTAACTAACATATGATACCCGTATAGTATATAACTATACCAAAAGGGTATACAATTGTACGCAAAGAGTTAAAAAAAATTAATTCAATTATTAAACTGAAATAATATTATTGTCAATAAAAAATTCAAAAAATTCTAAAAGGATCTAATTGTAAGAGTATACCGTTACATTATATAACATATTATAATATTTTTTTTTTATGCATTGTCAATTTGCCCCTCACGCTGGGTAAAAGCTTAAAACAAATTAAAAGGGAAAATGCAAGTGAATTTACAGGTAATAAGTATACTATTATAGTATATTGTATGCTATTACAGCATACTGTAATAGTATATTGCATATTATTACAGTATACAATAACAATATATTGTATACTATAATAGTATAATGTTGCAGTATAACTATATACTCTTATAGTATATTGTATACTGTAGCAGTATATTGTTAGTTAACTGTGTTCTTTTTCGATTATTACTATATACCGTTATAGTATATTGTAAACTATAATAGTATACCGTTGCACTATAGCTATATACTCCTACAGCAAATTGTATACCGTAGTAGTATACTATTGGGTAGCTATGTTCTTCTTCGATTTTCAGCTAAATATTTCGCAGATTAAGACCCATTTCCTTCGAACTAATAAATATCTAAACAGTTAAACCCATCAACTCTTCTGTTAATGGTAGAAGAAGTATTTTCTACTCTTGCAAAATCCTTAACAACAATAGCTAAACGATATGCTCGTCAGATTCAGAGGCAAAGCAGTAGCTGTATCTCAATATTTCTACTCAACAAGTGCAACCCCAGCTCCTGCCCCGACACATTTCTTGGTAAAATACCTGGTTAATTCTCTAGGATTCTCCAAAGAAGAAGCAACCTCTACATCGTCCAAGGTAACTTCATGGAAATCCTTAAAAAATCCTGATTTAGTCCTCAATTTTTTGGAACAAACCGGTTTGGACAACACCCAGATGAAAAAAATTAGTTTTTAGCGCACCAAAATTGCTATTCCATGATTTTCCCAAAACCTTAAAACCCAAATGAATAAAAAAAAACAGTGCTAACGAGCAAGAAAACGGATGCGCTAAAGCGCAACTTCACGCAGCTGCTGCGCCCTTGCTTCTTGCTTTCGAGCCAGAGCTTGCTGGGTAGTGAAGTGGTCCGTGAAGGTTAAATAAGACTTGTGTTAAGCAAGCAGAGTAGTCAAGCCAGAGAGGAAAAAAAGCAAGAAGCTGTTTTCGTTCGATCGACGGAATCAATCGTACTTTCACTGCTGTGGATAAATAGTTTAGGCCTCATGGGTAGGAGTAATAAATAGTTTGGGCCTGAGCATTAAAGGGTAAATAGTTTGGAATTAATGGGTATAAAGTGAGATTTTCTCCTTAAAATAAGTCAATCCAAACGGGCTCTTCTTCTCATATGTTCAGGCCTTACTGGATTGAATTACTTAGTACTTGTGTTAGTAGAAGGTAACAGGTGCCCCATAAAATCTAGGCGCATGTAAGCTAATCGGGATACCACAATTATCAAAAGAGATTATTGAAATGGCCTAACCACAGAGGGACAACTCTTAACAAGTTTAATAAAGCACCCCAGCACACTGAACTCGACATGTCAATTAGGTTGGGTTGGGTTAGAACTTAGACGGGAGAAATTCAAAAATAGCCAGATTTACAACTGGTCGTTCAAAAATAGCCCAGTTTCAAAAGTAATCGAAATTTAGTTACTTTTCATGTAAAGATAAATCTGAGCGAAACACTGTTCAAAACCCGAAAATACGCTAGTATATTATACTGGAGTTCCAGCATAAGTATACTTGAATTCCAACATATTATACTGGAGTTCCAGGATAAGTATGTTGGAACTCCAGTATAATATGATGGAGTTCCAGCATAAATACTCTAGAACTCTAGCATAATATACTGGAGTTCCAACAAGTATAATTGTCCAGTATAATATACTGGAGTTTGGAGCACCGGTGCTCCAGTCTCCAGTATATTATACTGGAGTCAGTAAAGTATACCGGTCCACTATAATATGCTGGAGTTCATATACAAGCGCACCGAACTCCAGTATATTATGCTTGACCGATCTCTGTTGTAGCAAAATAGTAGCTATTTTTCATTGATTTCGTAAACACTGGCTATTTTTGAATGACCAGTCCGAAAACTAATTATACCGTCCTATTTTTACAAATAGACCCCAGCCCGTCTCCCATGGGTTCCAGGGACAAGTTGGAGCGGGCTCAGCTTAAGGAGCCCAGTTGGGAGTTAGGCCACTTTGGCATTTGGAGTGCTTGGCACATGTCATGACCCATTAAGTGAAGGGAAAATGATATTGTATAACCACTTTTAAAATAATAATCGAAAAATATATATTTTTTGTATATATTTATATTTCTGTATGTTATATACAAAAAATATATAAATTTTATACACTTTTGCGGCTATCCGGTGTAAATAGTTTCGGCTATAGCCACTTTTGAGCCGGGCAAGTTCAGGTTTAGTTGGGCTGGGTCTATTGATCTGTAACTATTTTATTTTAATATAAAAAGTAAAGTGTTGGACTTAGAGACAAGAATATGAAAACAAAATTTGGTATTAACTTTCAAATTTCAAAACATTACAATTTGCAATTGGCATTTTGAATTTTAAACTTGGAAGTACGTTAAATCTTTAAAATATTGAAATAAAATTTACACAGCTAGAAAAATACACCGCATTAGCTTAGGTATTATAGGTCACAAACTTTTTCTAATTGAAATAACATATAAAATATTGAAGGGAACATATTGTTATTGGAAAAATATTCCTGGAGCTAAACCCTTAGCAGCTATGTAATGAATTCAGGGGACGAGCTTCGAAGCACCGAAAATTTTGTGGGCCCATAAAACGATCTATTATTGTTTCACCATGACTATTTCTCATTTTTTGACACTTTAGGGTCATAAAACAGGAATTCAGGATGATTTTCATTTCTTTCATGTGTTAATGTCCATGCCATCTTTATGAATTCGGGCGACGGGCTCCGAATCGCCTAAAATTTTGTGGGTCCACTAGAAACAACCTAATGAACAGTAGGAATAGCTTCGCCATGATTGTTTCTCATTTTTTGGCGTTTTAGGGCCATAAAATAGGAATTCAGGACGATTTTCAATTGTTCGTGTACTAATGTCCCATCATCATCATGAATTCAGGCAACAGGTTATGAATCGTCTAAAATTTTGTGGGTCCATCAGAAACGACCTAATGAATAATAGTTATTGTTTCGCCATGACTATTCCTCATTTTTTGGCACTTTAAGGTCAGGAATTCAGGACGATTTTCAATTTTTCGTGTGTTAATGTCCATGCCATCTTCATGAATTCGGGCGACGGGCTCT